TGTGGCTATTTTACGAATATCTGCTATCTTCTTCCTGAAGCCCATCTTTTAAATAAATCTTGGGAAAGGGTCTGTTTGAAATGGTGTGGAAAAAACTGAGGTAGGTAAGATTTGATGATCTTCATCTAAGAAACCTGAAGAGTAATATCCAATCTCAGTTTAGAAACAATGAAAAGACTAGTTTATAGAAGTTATTTCAGGCAGGGGGAACAAATTGTCAAATGACAGACTTAAAACTAAATTAAATTAAGTCCTATTATTGGTTGAATTGTGCGTGTGCACACCCATACGCCAATTCATACATTGAAGTTCTAACCTCTAGTACCTCAGAGTGTAACCTTATTTGGTTATTGGAAATAGGGTCATGGCAGATGTAATTAGTAAGAAGTTACACTACAGTAGAGAGGAGCCCTTACTCCACTACCTGGTGTCCTTATTAAAAGGGGAAATTTGGGCTGGGTGCGGTGGCTCACACCTGTAATCCCAACACTTTGGGAGGCCAAGTTGGGTGGATCGCTTTAGCTCAGGAATTCGAGACCAGCCTGGGGAACGTGGAGAAACCCCATCTGTACAAAAGATCCAAAAATTAGCCAGGTGTGATGGTGCATGCCTATAGTCACAGCTACTTGGGAGGCTGAGGTGGGAGGATCACTTGAGCCTGGGAGGCAGAGGTTATGGTGAGCTGAGATTGCGCCACTGCACTCCATCCTGTCTCAATTAAAAGGTCAGGAGGTGAGTGGAGTTGGATTTGGACACAGAGCCCATGTAAACATGAAGACCAGCCATCTGTAAGTCAAAGAGAGAGGCCTGGAACAGATCCTTCCCCCACAGTCTGCAAAAGGAACCAGCCCTGCCAACACCTTGATTTCAGACTTCTAGCCTCCAGAACTGTGAGAGAATAAATTTCTGTTAAGAGACCCAGTTTGTAATACTTTGTTGCAGCAGCCGTAACAAACTAATATAGGTCCCAATATTTTATTTGTTTTGAAAATCTAAACCTAGGAAAATTCAGCATTTGAAATTTTACTATTTCTTTAAAAGGTAGGGAACCAGTTCTCTGGAATGAATTGTAGAATGTGTGGTTATAGAGTTCTTAGGTTTTTGATGACTCATACTTTAGCCAGTTACTAGTCAATCCAGTTTACAAAGCAGTTTATCACCAGCCCAGATCAGCAGCTGGAGTTTCAGGAGTGTGCATTTTTTTCTATTTATGGTAGTAGAGTGGTAAGAGTCTTTCTAGTCACCTGAGAGGTGTTTCCTAAATGTATTTTGTATATACAGATTCAAGCCTCTTACCTGACTATTCATTTTCTTTTTCTTTCTTTTCTTTTCTTTCTTTCTTTCTTTCTTTCTCTTTCTTTTTCTTTCTTTCTCTTTTCTTTCTTTCTCCTTCCTTTCTTTCTTTCGTTCATTCATTCGTTCTTTCTTTCTCTTTCTTTCTTTCTGTCTTTCTTTCTTTTCTTTAAGTCTCACTCTGTCACCCATGCTGGAGTGCAGTGGTGTGATCTTGGCTCACTGCAACCTCCGCCTCGTGGGTTCAAGTGAGTCTCCTACCTCATGCCCCTGAGTAGCTGGGACTATAGGCTCATGCCACCATGCCCAGCTAATTTTTGTATTTTTAGTAGAGATGGGGTTTTACCATGTTGGCCAGGATGGTCTCGATCTCTTGACCTCGTGATCCACCCACCTCAGCCTCCCAAAGTGCTGGGATTACAGGCATGAGCCACTGCGCCCAGCACCTAACTATTCATATTCTTACGAAAATCTGAAGTTGATCTTTTTCTTGTATATGGATTAATAGCACCCCGGGGAAACTAGAGATGAACAGCTTTGAATATACATCCCATTTCAGTGGACTAGAAAAGAATGGACCATGCTTTTCATGATAAGAGCAAGAACCTCAGGAGAAGGCTGCAGGACTAAATTAGGAGTGATCATGGGAAGTGCCCTGCTGACCAAGAGGAACTGGCTATTCCCATAAGAAATTTTATTATAGACTGATTGGTGAAGCCTTGGAAATAATACTGAAAACCATACCTCTACCTTAAACACAGCTCCTTAATTATTCTGGTTTTCTAAACAGAGCCAAGTAAGTATGCCAGCAGAACAAATCTACCATGTTTGAAACTGACTACAATAGTGTATAAGTAAAGGACATGGACCCTGGAGTCCGTTCAAGTTAGTGTTATGATTAGGAGTAGATTATTTCCCTTGCTTCTGGTTTCTCATGTGTAAAATGGATAGTCCAATGTGTCTCCATCATAGCATTTTGTGATGATTAAATAGAGTGATAATTCATGTAAAGCAGTGTGCGAAATGACTGGTGCATATTAAGTACAAAAAATGTTGACTAATAGCAATGGCAGCAGCTATGTGGCCACAGTGCATGCTACTCCCTCTCCCATTTCAGTGCATGAGAGCGAATAATCTCTTCTTGTGAAATGTGATAAGCTCAGACAGTAGAATCCATGAATTCAAAATATTAACAAAGCAAAACCTGGAAGGGCCTGTGGGATCAACTGGTGCTCTTTATTCATTTAAAGGTTCAGAAAATAAGGTCATGAAATCAGGGTTGGAGAAGGCCCTAGATCTCCTGGTTCCCAGTTTTTCTTTTCTGCTGCATGTTGCTGCCTTCTATATCACAGAACCATGTGTCTCTTTTAATTCTTCTCTCTTTTTAATTTTTTTCTCTTGAGACAGAGTCTCCTTCACCCAGACCAGAGTGCAGTGGTGCGACCTTGGTTCACTGCAACCTCCGCCTCTCAGGTTCAAGCCATTCCCCTGCCTCACCCTCCTAAGTAGCTGGGATTGCAGGTGCCCGTCACCATGCCTGGCTAAATTTTTATATTTTTTTAGTAAAGACAAGGTTTCACTGTGTTGACCAGGCTGGTCTCGAACTCCTGACCTCAAGTGATCCGCCCGCCTTGGCCTCCCAAAATGCTGGGATTGCAGGCATGAGCCACCACGCCTGGCCACTCTTTTTCTTTTTTTAATCCCAAAGACTTCAAAACCATTCTTAATAAACTTTTTGCTTCAAAAGAAACATTTTTTTTCTCTTGACGTTTGTGTGTTTGAAATTTTTCTTATTAGTTTAAAAATTATTAAATTTAAACTGAATTTATGATTGTTTAAAGCATTTTAGCATATGCCTGACTCTATATTTACTGTCTGTTATGGAACAAAGAAATTGGTAGCAGTGATTGCCTCTGGGAAGGGCACTGTGGTAGAAGTGACATTGATTATAATGGAGAATTCTGGAGAATACAGTAATTACCGGTTAGTAGAACTGGACAAGGAATAAAGTAGGAACAAGTATCTGTGGTTAACCGAAACTCAAGAACTGTATAGATTCAAAATTTTGGAAGCATCCCTTGTTATGTACACATTAGCACACTCTACCCAAGCTGCAGGAGCCAAATAGATTTGGATAGGGAGGAATACTTTGGTTTCATTTGGGTGAGAACTGCTCCTGTGAATTGCATTTTACACGCCTGTCTCTGACTTATCAGTGGATGAAGTGATGAGCTCGGTTCCTACCTTGTACATAGGGTTTTTGCAGCATAAAAGTGCTTAACTCTGGACTAAACCTTGAGAAGACCAGGAGCTTAATTGAGCTCTTAGAAGAAAAGAAAAGGAAAAGTGTTTTTAACAAATGCATGTTCATGCTAGGTGGGATTGCATGTCTACAGTTTACCTGTCAAAAAAGGAAAAGGGAAGGCTAGCTACACTTTGCTTTGGACATTTTATATATTTTCTCTAAGGTGTGTGAAGTGTATTTGTGTGAGTTACAGTATAATTTTTTTCTTTCGTTTTTTTTTTTTTTTTTTTTTGTGACAGGGTTTTGCCACGTTGCCCAGGCTGAAGTGCGGTAGCTATTCACAGATGTGATTGTAGCACAGTATAGCCTTGAACTCCTGGGCTCAAGCCATCCTCCTGTTTCAGCCTTCTAGGTAGCTGGGACTACAGGCACATGCCACCGTGCCTGGCTTCTATAGTATAATTTTTGAGCCTCCTAGTTTCTGTTTTAAAATTTGTTTTACTATTTGAAGAGCCAGTTACTTTTCTAGCTAGCTTCCTCTTTTCTGAAACAGGAAGAAATATTTTGAAATAAAACGATCCTAATGTGTTTCAGGATTATTAACCATAAATTTCAGAACATAGCATTGTCGAAGGCAAGGATATTATCTGTTTAGCACCTATGATATATATTTAATTTGGGTAATTAAATTCTTATGACAGAAGTAATGTCTAACCTCAGTGCGTAGTTCAATAAACATTAATTTTAAAAGATGGAGGCTTAGTTGTAATGAAATCATAAATAATATTTTGAATATAACAGACTTACTTAAGGAAAATAGTAAGGTGCCTGGCATTATATTATCTATGAGCAGGAACTTTTTCTTACATTTGAGAAGATAGCTTGAACCCAGGAGATTTTATTTAATTAACATTTTATTTTTATGTCACTTCTTGGTCCATGCATATCCATTAATGGTATTATTATTATTATTATTATTATTTTTGAGATGGAGTCTCACTCTGTTACCCAGGCTGGAGTGCAGTGGCACAATCTCGGCTCACTGCAGCCTCCACCTCCCAGGTTCAAGTGATTCTCCTGCCTCAGCCTCCCTAGTAGCTGGGATTATAGGCGTGTGCCACCATGGCCCAGCTAATTTTTGTATTTTTAGTAGAGACGGGGTTTCACCATGTTAGCCAGGATGGTCTTGATGTCCTGACCTCGCCATCTGCCCACCTCGGCCTCCCAGAGTGCTGGGATTACAGGCGTGAGTCACTGCGCCTGGCTTTCATTTTTAAATTTTAATGCCATTATTTGGTTTTAATAGACAGAAATTTCCTAATGCCTAGAAGGATTGTAGAGATACAGCCTAACAATCTAAAAATTAAATTGATGGCTAGTATAAAATAGTTTTGAGCAGTATTTAACAAAAGCAAAACTGTGTTAACCCTTTGTTTTCATTTACCTCTTCCTAACCCCTCAGCTTGGCGATCCAGCTATTTTTCCTGCTGTAATTGTGGAACATGTTCCTGGTGCTGATATTCTCAATAGTTATGCCGGTCTAGCCTGTGTGGAAGAGCCCAATGACATGATTACTGAGAGTTCACTGGATGTTGCTGAAGAGGAAATCATAGACGATGATGATGATGACATCACCCTTACAGGTGCGTGTGTCTCCATCCAGTAGGACCTTGCTGCAGCACAGCGTTAGGCAGTGTCCTCATCCTGACTTTGTGGGGCATAAAACGCCCCTAACTTGGTTTTGAACTGTATTACCTTCAGAAGCTAGAGCCCTACATGGAGAAGAAATTTACGTTTTCTGTTTCATCTGCTGGTTTTAGTACTGTTTGTCATCTCCCATTTCTCCTTTCCTAAATATATTGAGATGAATATGACAAAATAAGAGGCATGTAAAAGGAACCAAACCTACTCAATTCATCAAGTCTTCACTGAGCACCTTTTTTTTTTTTTTTTTTTTAAAGAGATGGAGTCTTACTGTATTGCCCAGCCTAGACTTGGACTCCTGGGCTCAAGTGATCCTCCTGCCTCAGCCTCCTGAATAACTGGGACAACAGTCATGCACCACCCCACCCAGCTCACTGAGTACTTTCTTATATGCCTTCCTCCATATTCCTGTGAATAAAATGAGTTGTTTTGTAGGGAAAGAGAGAGGAATGTTCTTTTCTTACCACTGCCACAGGAAGCGTAATGGTGGGCCATGACCCAAATGTATGATAAGGTCCTGGTATTTATAGATTTCTTTTCTGGTTCAGTCGGAACTAGCAAGATATTTTAAACTTGAAGATTAGCCTACATAAATGTGAGATTGTAGTAATAATACTTTCATCACTTAGAAACTGGTACATGCTTTCTCTTTCTACTCATTTACATTCCTATATCTTGGCCAGGGGTGTTGTGGATATTTGAGAAAACTATTTGGAAGCAAATATTTGCATCTTTATTCGTAAAAGAAAGTTTATCAGAAATAGGCATGACAAGGTATATCTGTAGATTTCATAGTGGCAAGTACTGGGGCTGCCTTGTTCTCAGCTTTACCTTAGCATATAGCACAATGCCTTAGAACTGAATAATAAGTCTAAATGCAAGTTCTGATCTATTTAGGAAGTTAGCATATGATACAGTAACATTTTAAATCAGGGGAAAGGTAGAATGACTGTATCCATCTGGTGGGGGAGGGGCCCCACTGATAACATTGGTTGTCAATACCTCATCTTTGTATTGTCCTCTGTTTGTGTCACTTCTCACACTGATATAAAGAACTACCTGAGACTGGGTAATATGTATAAAGAAAAGAGGTTTAATTGGCTCATGGTTGTACAGGCTGTACAGGAAGCATGGCTGGGGAGACCTCAGGAAGCTTACAGTCATGGTGGGAGGCGAAGGGGAAGCAGACACATCCTACATCGCTGGAGCAGGAGGAACAGAAAGCAGAAACCACCAGATCTCATGAGAATTCATTCACCATCATGAGAACAGCAAGTGGAAAATCCACCCCCACGATCCAGTCACCTCCCACCAGGCTCCTCCTCCAACATTGGGGTTTAAAATTCAACATGAGATTTGGGCAAGGACAAATGCAAACCATACCACTGTCTTTTTTTTACAAAGCATTTTTTGCATATATTCACATTTTTTGTTCAGAACAAACCAATAAAAGTTTTTTGTTGAATCTAGAGTTACTTCTCCTTTACCAGTAAGGGAATTAGACTAATGAGGTTAGAAGTTTCTATTCATTGCTCTCTGATCTGTTTGTGTAACAGAAGAAACACCACTATGCATGTATCTGGCTTGTAGTTAGTGGGGGTGTAGCAGTGTATTCTGATGTAACTTTTAAAGCCTTAGGGTAAGGCTACAGTCTTTGCAAGTTGAGGACCACTGTCTTTCTGGAAGGAGTATTTCTTCCTAGTTCTAGTCATCAGGGAAGGCATTAGCCCTCAGAGAGGACATTGAATCTAGGAAAGCAGGTATTAGATCTTTAGGAGAAGGAATTGCCTCTTCCCTTCAGTGCGTCACTCCCTTGCATTTAGACCTGAAGACAGCAGATGACAAGATGTAGACAGGTTCTTTCCTAGAAAATAGAACTGATGTGGAGTGGGTCTAGAAGGCAAGCCAGATCTTGAAAACCAGATTCTCTCTTTGCGTTTTTTCTTCCCTTTCCCTTACCTCCCAACTTACCAAAACTTTTTAACTCTTCCATCCTTTTCTGAGCAATGTCATAAAAAAGGGAAGAACCGGCCGGGCGCGGTGGCTCAAGCCTGTAATCCCAGCACTTTGGGAGGCCGAGACGGGCGGATCGCGAGGTCAGGAGATTGAGACCATCCTGGCTAACACGGTGAAACCCCGTCTCTACTGAAAAAATACGAAAAAAAACTAGCCGGGCGAGGTGGCGGGCGCCTGTAGTCCCAGCTACTCAGGAGGCTGAGGCAGGAGAATGGCGTGAACCTGGGAGGCGGAGCTTGCAGTGAGCTGAGATCCAGTCACTGCACTCCAGCCTGGGTGGCAGAGCGAGACTCCGTCTCAAACAAAAAAAAAAAAAAAAAGGGAAGAACCTCGTAATCTTCCTTATTCCGCAGTGGGTACGATGGGTAGCCTTTGAGAAGCTCTAGGGGAAGAAAGAATAAGGATAGGACATTTTTGTTCTTACATGTGTTAGGTGGCACTTCAGATGATGTGTTAGTTTGCTAGGACTGCCATAAGAAAGTACCACAGACTGGTGGCTCAAATGAGACATTGATTTTCTCACAGTTCTGGAAGCTAGAAGTCTGAGATCAAGGTATTGGTAGGGTTAGTTCCTTCTGAGGCTTCTTTCTGGACTTATAGGTGACTGTCTTCCAGTGTCTTCCCATGGTCTTCCCTTTTGTACCTGACTGTGTTCATATTTCATCTTAGAGGGACACTAACCATATTGGATTAGGGCCTACACTAATAACCTCATTTTAACTCAGTTATCTCTTTAAAGACATTCTGAGGTACTGTGGGTTAGCATGTCAACATAGAATTTTGGGGGATACCATTCAGCCAGTAATAGATGATATTAAAGAATTACTGTGGGCTGGGTGGCTGACACCTGTAATCCCAGCACTTTGAGAGGCCGAGGCGGGTGGATCACCTGAGGTTGAGAGTTTGAGACCTGCCTGACCAACATGGAGAAATCCCGTCTCTACTGAAAATACAGAATTAGCCGGGCATGGTGGCGCATGCCTGTAATCCCAGCTACTCCGGAGGCTGAGGCAAGAGAATCTCTTGAATCTGGAAGGCAGACGTTGCGGTTAGCCAAGATCACGCCATTGCACTCCAGCCTGGGCAACAAGAGCGAAACTTTGTCTCAAAAAAAAAAAAAAAAAATTATTGTTAGTATATTTAAGATATGATAGTAGTATTGTGTTAGACATCTTTAGGATACACATGCTGAGGTATTTAGAGATAAAATATGGTATCTTAGATTCCTTCAAAATAATCCTGTACAGAGGGTAAGGACTCGGGGGCAGTGAGTGGGGTATGGTTGAAAGAAGATTGGCTATTTGGTGATAATAGTTGAAGCTGGGAATGGGCACATGGGGATTCATTATATATACTATACTCACAATTTTTTAATTTTGTTTAAAATTTTCATAATAAAAAATTTGACCAGATGCAGTGGCTCACACCTGTAATCCCAGAACTTTGGGAGGCCGAGGAGGGAGGATCACTTGAGCCCAGGAATTCAAGGCCAGTGTGAGCAATATAGCGGGACCCTGTCTCTACAAAAAATTTTAAAAATTAGCTGGGCATGGTGGCCTGAGCCTGTAGTCCTGGCTACTCGGGAGGCTGAGGTGCTAGGATTACTTGAGTCTAGGAGTTTATGGTTGCAGTGAGCTATAATTGAGCCACTGCACTCTGGCCTGGGAGACAGGGTAAGACCTTGTCTCAAAAAAAAAAAGCAAAACCAAAAAGATGTAATGATTTTATGAAATTTGAGGCTTAGATTATATTTTGAGCTGTCATCAAAATACATAAATTGTTTCTTAGTCTTGCCAGAAAAAATTAAACTTGAATTTCATCAAGCCTCCATATATGACTACTCAGTTAGAGGGGGTATAGAAAAACATGTTAAGCTACACAATAGGAATATAGTTGGCAAAATCCAAACTGGGAAATTCTACATGAATAAACAGCCTGATTTCTTCAACAAATAAATTGCAAAGTAAAAAAAGCTAGACAGATGAATGGCAACTCAGAAATGTATCAGTCAATTGCGATATGCAGACTTAATTTGGTTTTTTTTAAAAAAAACTGTCTTGTCTTTCCTTGCGCCACCACCATTTATGATTTTTTAACACAATTGGACTTTTGAATGCTGGTTGGCTATTTAATATTAAGGAACTATTGATTTTTTATTTTTATTTATTTTTTTTTTTTGGAAACAGAGTCTCGCTCTGTCACCCAGGCTGGAGTGCAGTAGTTCAGTCTCGGCTCACTGCAACCTCCACCTTCTGGGTTCAAGCAGTTCTCCTGTCTCAGTCTCCTGAGTAGTTGGGACTACAGGTGCATGCCACCACACCCAGCTGATTTTTTTTGTATTTTTAATAGAAACGGGGTTTCTCCATGTTGGCCAGTCTCAGACTCCTGACCTCAAGTAATCTGCTTGCCTTGGCCTCCCAGAGTGCAGGATTACAGGAATGAGTCACTGTCCCTGGCCAGGTTTAGTATAATTTTATGTGTTTATAGTTTATATGTATATAAACTAAAATATTAAATGATGTATTCTGGTTCTAGAGATAAGCAGTGTATGACGTTCAGAGTAACAGATGTCTTGTGGCTAATTTAATTTTCTCTTTAAATGTGTTGCAGTTGAAGCTTCTTGTCATGACGGGGATGAAACAATTGAAACTATTGAGGCTGCTGAGGCACTCCTCAATATGGATTCTCCTGGCCCTATGCTGGATGAAAAACGAATAAGTGAGTGGTTATGGTTACGATTGTTCATGTTTATGTACTTCGTTAAGTCACTCCTGCCATCTTTCTCTATTAGATAGTAAAATCAAGAGATTAGAAATGATGTTATATATTTTTTGTTACAATCACATTTTAAGGTATAGTAGGAATTGGGATGCCTTTGCAAAAATGTAGAGTTAAAGGTGACATTTTAATTTGAGAATGAAGCCTTTGGGAATAAAAAATATATAATTTATTAGTTACCAAATAGAAGATCATGCAGAATTTCTTCTCCTAACGTATTGATCAGAGTATTCGGGTATCAAGGGCCCAAATGATTATAATTTAGTCATCTCTGTAGTTATTTATCAGCAAATAGGCAATAAGCTATTGAAAATTTTACTAACATCATGGCATAAAATTCACTGCCACATTATTGATCTGCTTTAAATTTCATATTCTCCTTTGGGCTTTTCTGACAATCAAATTCATAAAGTAAATTATTACTAAATCATTCCAAAATATTTATTGAATATTTACTATATTCACAGCAGCAATAATTAGGCAATAACATGAGCTACAAATGAGTAGATATTGTTCCTTTCCTCAAGCTTACAGTTTAATTTTGAAGACAGTTACTTATGTAAATAACTACAAAGCCAAGAATAAAGGCCATGAGTGATAGCAAATTGCTGTAGAAGCAGTGAGTATTCTAGCTGAGAATATCAGAGACTGGCTTCATTAAAGGAGTATTCTGACGTGGGCTGTAAACAATAAGCTTTTAATAGGTAGAAGAGACAAGAATGGTCATTCAAGCTGGAGGGAATAGAGGTAAACATACAGGACACAGATCTGTTAAAAGAAAATGAATGAAATCTTTGAGATCAAGATGTTTTGGTGTGGTTGAAGTGTAAGCTTCATGGTGGGTAGGAAATGAGATTGGAAAGGTAGGTTTGGAACTAGATTACAGAAGTTTTGTAAGGCATGCTGTAGAGATGGGTTGTGCTTATGTTGTTTTTTGTTTTTCCTATGAACTATGGAAAGATATGTCAGGTTTTTTTTTTTCCCCTAATTTTCCAGGTATAAAGTTTTTGTGTAGAGGAGTATGGTCAGGTCAGACTTATGTTTCAGAAAATAACTCTCACAGCAATGTGAATAATCAAGAGGAGAAACGAGACACACTGGTGATAGGAAGTCAAGTAAGAAAGACATTGAAATAGCTCAGCTGCGCCTGGACTGGTTTAGGGTATTTGATTTAGGGAAGAAGAAATTAAAAGCAGGAATAGATTTCAAGATTTTATTTCTACTTTAATCTTCTAGTCATAATAAAAACAAGAAATTTTGTCAATCGTTTTTTACTTATAATACACAGTGGACTATAATTAGTTGATTTTATTTTCATTAGATAATAATATATTCAGTTCACCTGAAGATGACATGGTTGTTGCCCCAGTCACCCATGTATCCGTCACATTAGATGGGATTCCTGAAGTGATGGAAACACAGCAGGTGCAAGAAAAATACGCAGACTCACCGGGAGCCTCATCACCAGAACAGCCTAAGAGGAAAAAAGGTAGGTGGGTTACTTCATTTAGGGCACACAGTCAAGTCTTGATGTAAAATCTAGAGATCGTTTTTATTCTACGTAGTTCTTCCCTACAGCAGTTAAAACTTATGTAAGAAAAATATTGAAGCCTCAAAATGGAAATACGAGGTATTTCTTGGCCAGGCACGGAGATTCATGCCTGTAATCCCAGCACTTTAGGAGGCCGAGGCAAGAAGATTGCTTGAGGCCAGGAGTTTGAGACCAGCCTGGGCAACAAAGCAAGACCTCATCTCTACAAAAAATTTTAAGAATTAGCCGGGCATGGTGGGCACCTGTAGTCCTAGATACTTGGGAGGCCAAGGTGGAGGATCCCTTGAGCTCAGGAGTTACAGGTTTCAGAGAGCTAAGATCATGCCACTGCACTCTAGCCTGGGCAACAGAGTGAGAACCTATCTCTAAGAAATAAAATAAAAGAAAATAAAAAATAAATAAGAAAAAGAGGTATTCCTTCATAGTAGGGTCATTTCTTTTAAAAAAAATTAAATTATTGGCCCAGGTACGGTGGCTCACGCCTTTAATCCCAGCACTTTGGGAAGTGGAGGTGGGCGGATAACCTGAGGTCAGGAGTTTGAGACCAGCCTGGCCAATACGATGAAACCCCGTCTGTACTAAAAATACAAAAATTAGCCAGGTGTGATGGCTGGTGCCTGTAATCCCAGCTACTTGGGAAGCTGAGGCAAGAGAATCACTTGAACCCAGGAGGTGGAGGTTGCAGTGAGCTGAGACCACACCATCGAACTCTAGCCTGGGCAACAAGAGGGAAGCTCCATCTCAAAAAAAAATTATAATAATTAAATTATTTTATACTTTAAAAATGTTTGGTCTATCTTACAGAAAAAGGATTTTCCAACTTTTTAAAGCCTCAGATTTCTATCTAAACCCTTTCATCCTTGGGTAAGAGCTAGTCAGCTTTCTTCCCAGGGGTTATTGTTTGAAAGCCTCCGGTCTGTACCGGTGATTCCAGTATAATCACTGTACTGGTGATTCCAGTATAAGAATCCAGTTGGAAAAAATACAATGGGTTGGAAATCAGCAGGTAAGTAACTGAAGAGGAGTATGTTAGGATGTGTTGAATGGGAATTTTTAATTTTTTACCAATTAGGACCATACTTGCATTCTAAAGTCTGACACCTTTTCCATTTTATTGCCTTCTGATTCTATTCATGCTTGCTTAGTATTTTGAGTATAATGTCTTGATTAATAGCATCACCCAGTAACCTAAGTTCATGTGACAGTCAGGGAAATTCCAAGAGCCGAAAATGAAGAGGAAAATAAAAATAGTTAACAGGAGCCGACACTGCAGCAGCTCAGAAGGGCTGAGAAGGATATACCAAGGGGTTTTGGTTTTATTGCTTATGTTGAGGCAGAAGCTTAGGTTTCTATGTTGGACTGTGCAAGATGGGGTATTGGACAGAGACCTCCGCATGCAACTGGGACCCTTGAAGGGATATACCCTCTTGGGGGAAAAAAATCCACCCATTGGCGCAGACGGATGTCAAGGAAGCTTGGGTCCCATTCAGCCAGACCTCTGAGTAGAGAAATTCTGGTTTAATTTCTTTTGGGTAAATACTTAGTAGTGGAATGGCTGGATCACATGTTAAGTGTACATTAAATATTTTTCAGAATATTTTCAGAAACATTACTTTCCAAAAAATTTTTTCTTCATGTATTAAGGTGGGGCAATCATAGGACTTGCCTCATTTATTTCCTGTCTCTTGGGGATCACTGACTTTTGTTGATCAATGTCCAATTTCTTCTGTACCATTGTTTCATGCATTTTTTCTGTGTTTTTAATTGTTTCAGGTGGGAAGATAAATCCATGTTGTGTTATTCCATCTTGACTAGAAGAGGAAGTTCCCACCTAGTCTTTTTTAATAGCCTTATTCTTTGACACTGTTTTTTTTTCTTTTGCTTTAAAAACTCTAATCATACTATGCAAAGTTTCTATTTAATGATTCTATTATGTGTGATTCTTAGAGAACTAATCCTAGGGTTTCCTATGTCTGCTGCTTCTCACTCATGAGAAAGTGTCTTCCTCATGTATTCTGTGATACCAAAATGTGAGTTCACCTTCAACAGGGCTTTATCTGAGGAAATCTCGTATGGCCTGGGTTGAATGTATAACCCACCTGAGCAATTCTGTAAGAGCTTCTGCCTGTTGCCCCATAGTTGTTACAGCCCTGGGGCTACGTCTTTGTTAATTGCGTGGCTGGCAATTCCTAATGTCAGTGGTAGTTTAAAATCTAGTTGTAAACCCAGGTTAAGACAGACCCAGGATTCACGGTGTTTATAGAAAAATTTGTACATAAATGGCTGATCTCAACTCACTGCATCTTCCACCTCTTGGGTTCAGGTGATTCTCCTGTCTCTGCCTCCCAGGTAGCTGGGATTAAAGGCATGCGCCACCACACCTGGTTAATTTTTGTATTTTTAGTAGAGACGAGGTTTCACCATGTTGGCCAGGCTGGTCTTGAACTCCTGACCTCAAGTGATCCACCGCCTCGACCTCCCAAGTGCTGGGATTACATGGATGAGCCACCATGCCCGGCCATTTATATACAAATTTTTCTTAAATATGTAGTATTTGTTTACCCAATCAGCAGTTAATGGGATTTGGGTTGTTTCCAATTTGGGGCAGCTACAAATAATGCTGTTAAGAACATTTGTGTGTCTTTTTTTTTTTTTTTTTTTTTTTGAGATGGAGTCTCGTTCTCTCAAAATAATTGTGCTAGGAGAAGGAAGCCAGAAGAAAAAATATGCTTCTACAGTTTACCCCCAAACAATGTGGGGGTTAGGGGTGTCAACCTCTGCAGCCAAAAATCCATGTAAAACTTTTGACTCCCCAAAAAGTTAACTACTAATAACCAACTGTTGACTGGAAACTGGAAGCCTTATTGGTAACAGTCAGTTAACACATATTTTGTATGTTATATGTATTAAATACTGTATTCTTACAATAAAGTAAGTTAGGGAAGAGAAAATGTAATATTAAGAAAATCATAGGCTGGGCGTGGTGGCTCATGCCTATAATCCCAGCACTTTGGGAGGCCAAGGTGGGCGGATCACTTGAGGTTGGGAGTTTGAGACCAGCCTGACCAACATGCAGAAACCCCGTCTCTACTAAAAATACAAAATGAGCCAGGCCTGGTGGCACATGCCTGTAATCCCAACTACTCGGGAGGCTGAGGCAGGAGAATTGCTTGAACCTGGGAGATGGAGGTTGTGGTGAGCCAAGATCGCACCATTGCACTCCAGTCTGGGTAACAAGAGTGAAACTCCGTCTCAAAAAAAAAAAAAGAAAGAAAGAAAATCATTAAGAAGAGAAAATATATTTACTATTTATTAAGCAGATGTGGATCAATAAAGGTCTTTTTTTTTTTTTTTTTTTTTTTGAGGCAGGGTCTTGCTCTGTCACCCAGGCTGGAGTGCAATGGCAAGATCATAGCTCAGTGCAACTTGGAACTCCTGGGCACAAGTGATCCTCCCACCTCAGCCTCCTGAATAGCTGAGACTACAGGCGAGCCCCACCACACCCAGCTAACCTTTTATTTTTATTTTTGTAGAGATGGGTCTCGCTGTGTTGCCTAGCTTGGTCTTAAACTTCTAGACTCAAGCATTCCTCCTGGTTTGGCCTTCCACAATGCTGGGATTACAGGTGTGAGCCACCCTGCCTGGCCAAAGGTCTTTATGCTTGTTGTGTTTATGTTGGCTAGGCTGAGGAGGGAGGAGGAAAAAAAGAGTTTGGTCTTGCTGTCTCAGGAGTAGCGCAAGTGGAAGGGGAGGCAGGAGACACAGGCACACTTGATGTAACTTTTCTTGAAAAAAGATTCCTATATAAGTGGACCTGTGCAGTTCAAAGCTGTGTTTTGTTTGAGGGTCAGTTTTATATTTATATAAAGCTCTAGAAACTACAAACTAATCTATAATGACAGGAAACAGATGAGTGGTTGCCTGTGGATTGGGCAGGGTGAGGAAGGGCGAGATGTAAGGATTACAAAAGGGCACAAAGTACTTTTGGGGTGATGAATATATTCATTGTTTTGAATGTAGTGATGGTTTTAGTATACATAGTCACAACTTGTCAAATTATAAACACCAAACATATGTAGTTTATTATAAGTCAGTTATACCTCAACAAAGCTGCTTAAAAAATAAAAGACTAATATTCTACTTAATGTTGAAAAACTATTGGTATGATAAAGAACCAAATGGAATTTATAGAAATAAGAAATGAAATTGGGCCATGCTCAGTGGCTCATGCCTATATTCCTAGCACTTTGGGCGTCTGAGGTGGGCAGATGACCTGAGGTCTGGAATTAGAGAGCAACATGGTGAAACCCAATCTCTACTAACAATACAAAAAAAAATTAGCCAGGCATGGTGGTACATGCCTGTAATCCCAGCTGCTTGGGAGGCTGAGGCACGAGAATCGCTTGAACCCAGGAGGCGGAGGTTGCAGTGAGCCAAGATCGCACCACTGCATTCCAGCCTGGGCGACACAGTGAGACTCTGTCTCAAAAACAAAAAAATGAAATGAAATTGAAAACATAATGTGTGGATTAAAACATAGACTAGTCACTGCTTAAGAAAGAATTAGCAAACTCCAGTAGATTTGGTGTGAATTAAAAAATATGGAAGAGTTACAGACATGGAGAACTAAATGAAAAGGTCTACATGTTTAATCAAAGTTCCAGAAACAGAGAATATGAAAAGTGAGGAAGAGACAATATTCGAGAGATAGTGACTAAGAATTTTCCAGAATCACATTAATCCTCAGCATTGTAAATCCTGAGTGGGTCAGCTACAATAAATCTAGGCCTAAATGCGTTGTTGGTAAAAATGCAGAACACCAAAGCCCTCTCTCAAGTTCTCCCTGCTCCAAAAAAAAAAGGAAGCAAACCAGGGAGAAACTACACTACTTCAAGAGGACTGATTTTTTTTTTTTTTTTAGATTGGCAGTTTAGAAGCTCCCAGGAGAGACTGGAAGAATTAGACATTTTCAAAGAGCTGAGAAGAAATCATTGTCAACCAAAAATTCTATAACCAAGATATAATTCGTCTGAAGCTTTGTACATTGCCACCTTGAATGATTAGGAAGATGTTGGAGAGGATGGATACTGGGTTGGGAGTTTTTACTGGCAGCATCTGTTGTGACTAAAGCTAGTGGAGGAAAGTAGTGGAAATAAAGATGATATCTATTTTTTTTAAGCTGGTATATATTAATAGCATAAAATAAGGTGGGAGTTACTGAAGTCTTGGCTTCTGATACTTGTTATCATGAACACAGCCAGAAGAATCTGTCTCCTGAAGGGTTCTCTGCAGACGTCTGCGGTGATGAAAGTCGGGATACCTGGCTGGCTAGCATACATTTGGCAATCTTAGAGACTGAGGAGTGGGCTTTTTGACACTTTCCTTCCTTCCTCTCATTCACCCAAATGACTTCAGAAGCGTTTTCCTATTCCATTTCTGGGGATAGATTGTCACTGGCCTTGTGATTTTTTTTTTAGCTGTAAAATTCTGCTTTTCTAAGTTATTGTCCTGCCCTATATTGTATTTACTTAGAATTCACCACAGTAATCCAAACCAGAGTGGCAGCCTCAAGGGTAGGAGGTAGTAACTCTTCATTGTTTCTCACCTATAGATTGGTAGTATGTTCAGACAGCATGATCATGATCTAAATCTAAATACAAGGCAGTGGTGCTACTAGGCCGTGGTTCTAGATACTTGGCCAAAGAAGATCACAAATAGGGCTTTAGAATAGTTGATCGACCCCACTCTGAGACTACTGGGATGGACTTATTTAGACATTGATGGCGGGTAAGATAACTATTAAGCTTGTTGTGAATTGAAAGGTACAGAAAAACGAGATGTTTTTAGAAATACACAGAAGGATAGTATTTAACTATGTGGTTCACCAAAATTTTGCCTCACATATTTTCTGTATTTCTAGAGTTTGGGAAGTTTCTTATACTTGAGAACTAACTGTATACAGAAATTATTTAATAGAGAAAAAAGCTAAAAATCCACTTCTCCTACCTTAAAAAGCTGGTATAATCAATAGACAGACAGAGCTATGTGGCTTATTTTTGGAGCGCATGTTCTACCAATGTCAAAAGCATTCTCCGAAAGTTTAAGAAAGTGCTACCAGTATGGGTACTTCAAAGGCAAGCTATAGTATTTTTAATTAACTTCATTTTTACAGATATAAACTGAGGTGTCAGAGGTATCATTTCTTACATAAGTGTGTTTATGGTTTAACCTGCATTAATGTCCAAGTTTTATTAAAGTTGTTTTCCTTTTAGCAAACAGCATTTTAAGAGACCAGTATATGTGACCCATGTATAAAAACATTTGGCACTTGACCAAATAGCTGAATTGTCCATTTTTTGTCACTTTTGAAGGCAAATATTTATGCAGAGCTGTTTTTATTTCAGGGAGAAAAACGAAACCACCACGACCAGATTCCCCAGCCACTACGCCAAACATATCTGTAAAGAAGAAAAACAAAGATGGAAAGGGTACTACTGTAATTTCCGTGTAATACTTATAGGTCAAGTAACACTCAGATTGCTTTATAGCGCCTGCCTGTTACAACTAGAAACCACCAGCTCTCTTGATATACTGCAATGGATCTTATTGCTGCCACATGCGTATTAGATACATTTGCCAAATTCTTAAAGGAAAACTGATAATAAAGTAGACCAAGAAACTCATTTGAGTGATTTTCACTTACCTGTCCAAATAATCTATTCTTTTCATGTAATAATGAGACTCTTGGAAGAATTTAACCAGGTTAGATTTTCAGTTCATAGGCCCTTTAACATGTTGTCTTGAAATTCAAGCATTTTTATAACTGTTGCCCAAATTTGAAGAAAACTGTTATGGCTGACCTGCTGGCTCTAATCTAAAGAGAACAACTGTTGAAAGGAGAGAGTTCACAAAGAGGCAGAAAAAAATTATCTCAAAGTACTTTCTCCTAATTCATCACAAATCTTATGACAAGATTGCTTTGTTCACATATTTTATATGGGACTAATAAAAAGATCTTTATAGATGCTGAAAAGTATGACCATTATACCACCCATACTAACTAAATTATATCACCAATACTAACTGAATTATGTAATGTTTTTGTATAAATATGAATGGCACTTCCAAGACTTTTAGTTGTCTTTTATGATGGTCTTTTACATGAAATTTTGGTCATTTAGAAAGAAATTGTTTTTGTTTCAGGAAACACAATTTATCTTTGGGAGTTTTTACTGGCACTGCTCCAGGACAAGGCTACTTGTCCTAAATACATCAAGTGGACCCAGCGAGAGAAAGGCATTTTTAAATTGGTGGATTCTAAAGCAGTGTCCAGGTTGTGGGGGAAGCACAAAAACAAACCTGACATGAATTATGAGACCATGGGAAGAGCACTCAGGTATGCGAAGTTTTGGTATTTTATTGTTAAGAATATCATTTCCTGAATCCTAAAAAAAAATATCAAGCTTAAATTCAGCAAAGCACCAACAGTGGTAATGCAAGTACATAATAAGAGGGTACATTTTCAGTCGGGTGCGGTAGCTCATGCCTGTAATCCCTACACTTTGGGAGGCTGAGGCTGGTGGATTGCTTGAGTTCAGGAGTTTAAGACCAGCCTGGGCAACATGGCAAAACCCTGTCTCTCTTAAAAAATACAAAAAATTAGCCAGACATGGTGATGTGCTCCTGTGGTCCCACCTATTCGGCAGGCTGAGGTGGGAGAATCACCTGAGCCCGGGAGGTTGAGGCTGCAGTGATCGAGATTGCACCACTGAACTCCAGCTTGGGCAACCGGAGTGAGACCCTGTCTCAAAAAAAAAAGAGGGTGCATTCTCAAACATGAATTGCAGGTATGATATGTTAGTTATTATGGTAGAATAAATTAGTGCTTCAAGAGTACTACTAGACATCATGAGAACTTTGAACAAGCGTAACATTTTATTCTTAAGCTCACTTTTAGTTCATTTTGTGGTGACTCTGTCATTTATTTTTCAAGATATGCATGTATTTGAGACATATTTATTGAAAATAAGAATGATCTGAATGACTTAGGGGATAGATATAGATATTAAATTTGGCAATCTTAAACTATAATCCTTTAATTACAGTTTTTGGATTTTTTAACATACATTTTTTAGGTTCTTGATTTTATTAAAATAGATGACAAAAAGTTGGATCACTTCTATTGCATATCATTAAGTTTTATACACAAAAGTCAATTACATTTACTGAATCAAATTTAAACTGATACAGTTTGCCTAGTAGGAACATTTCTAGAAAGCTGCGGAGGAGAAACAATTTATTGAGGCTTTTCGTAGTTTTGATGATCTTGGCAAGCTGTCAGAAAGGGGCCGAGTGTGGTGGCTCGCTTCTATAATCCCAGCATTTTGGGAGGCTGAGAAAGAAGCATCGTTTCAGCCTGGGAGTTCCAGACCAGCCTGGGCAACGTGGCAAAACCCAGTCTCTGCAAATGCAAAAATTAGCTGAGTGTGGTAGCATGCGCCTGTGGTCCCAGCTACTTGGGAGGCTGAGGTGGGAAGATTGCTTAAGGCCAGGAGTTCAAGGCTGCAGTGAGCTGTGATCATGCCACTGCCCTCCAGCCTGGGCAACAGAGCAAGACTCTGTCTCTAAATAAATAAGTAAATAAATTAGCAGAAAGAGGGAGGAAGAAAAATGAAAGACCAGAAGATTTCACATACTCTATCAACAGTCCCCCAATCACCATTAGTTTTATATTTAGTTGGTAATAAGAACTTATCTCTATCTGTGCATAAATGTATGTTTATCTTATATGAAATAACTGCCCTTTATTTAGAAATTCTTTTCTCATTAGTTTGATTCAACTTTAAAGTTTTGTTTATGATTAGGGAAATTTGATTTTGTTGAATATTTTAATTGATGTTTGATTAAATAAAATATTGATGAAATTGTCTGCTTTGAATAGGTACTATTACCAAAGGGGTATTCTGGCAAAAGTGGAAGGTCAGCGCCTGGTGTATCAGTTTAAAGAAATGCCAAAAGATCTTATATATATAAATGATGAGGATCCAAGTTCCAGCATAGAGTCTTCAGATCCATCACTATCTTCATCAGCCACTTCAAATAGGAATCAAGCCAGCCGGTCGAGAGTCTCTTCAAGTCCAGGGGTAAAAGGAGGAGCCACTACAGTTCTAAAACCAGGGAATTCTAAAGCTGCAAAACCCAAAGATCCTGTGGAAGTTGCACAGCCGTCGGAAGTTTTGAGGACAGTGCAGCCCACGCAGTCTCCATATCCTACCCAGCTCTTCCGGACTGTTCATGTAGTACAGCCAGTACAGGCTGTCCCAGAGGGAGAAGCAGCTAGAACCAGTACCATGCAGGATGAAACATTAAATTCTTCTGTTCAGAGTATTAGGTGAGAAAACCTAACTACTGATGCTTATCACTTCAATATGTTTCTGACCAGAGACATTATTTGTTAAGTGGGTCAGGATTCAGAAATGAAAATAAAAGTATATAGATTTCAAGCTAGAACTCTTGGTTACCAGATTTTTCAGGAGCAGTATATATTACGTCAGTCCTCTAATTATGCCACTGGTCCCTTTATTTACATTTTGACATTGTTGACATTCTGTCAGTTTAAGTACAGTTCACTATACCTTTGTATAACTGGATTGATCCATATAAGAAGTTATCTAGATGTGAGAAAATCCAGGGAATGGTTTCAAATCTTTATTCAGGCCAAGTCAGAAGCTTCAAAAATTCAACGTAAATTGACATATTAGGACATTGAGTGTGCATGGAGTTCCAAGCAATAAATGTTGTTCCTTGGAAGATCCTATCTTGGAACAATTCTAAAGTTCAAATAGGAGGGGAGGCCAAGAATCTAAGATCCTCTTTTTCAGGCCTTTAGAGTGGCAGAAGTCAGAAAAGTAGGGTTTGTTTTGTTTTTTGGTTTTTTCCTTTTCGGTTAAATCAGATTTGCCTCAGAGCCCCAGGAAAAGATGCTAAACAAATTGACTGAGAGAACCTGTCTGCCTTGGACTGATCTTCAGCAGAAATTTGGGACTAGTTTCAGCTGATTTAGAATGGGGGTATGGGAGGAAGGCAGAAAATTATATGGATATTTGTAGCATTTTTCTGTTTATACTGTCATGAATTTCTAGAACATGAATTATAATAAAATCTAGCAGCCCTTTCAAAGCCAATACAAACTACTATTTGATTACTTTTATTAGCAAACTTCAGTCTTACATTTTTCTATTCCAGAATATAAATGTGGAGGTTTTGCTCAATTGATCTTGAAGTAAGGTAACATTACCTAGAATCAAGGCAGACTTCGATGATTCAGTCTTCTTTGTATAGACAATTTAAAATGTTTGACCTTGTGAAAATATTCTCTTAAATCTTCAGTTGATTTGCGAGGAGTGCAAAGATGACCTTTAAATTTTTAATTGGCTGCTGCTACATCTTTTAACTGTTTTTAAAGGAGTATATCTTGAGTACCCTTATCCAAAATGCCTGGGACCAGGAATATTTTGGATTTTGAACTGTTTCAGATTTTAAATCGTTGCATTATACTTAGCCAGCACATCATCCCACATCCAAAAATCTGAGATCCAAAATGCTCCAGTGAGCATTTCCTTTGAGCGTCATATTGGCACTCAAAAAGTTTCATATTTTGGAATGTTTTGGATTTCAGATTTTCAGATTTGGAATGCTTAGTGGGTGCTTATTTAACTCTTACTGTCTGTATTCTTCCCTTAATGTTTTATATTTCCTTAGGCCCTGTGGGTTACACGTGATGACTGGGTGTCTAGTTGGGAGTGTGTGGTTCCTCCCATTGGTTGCTAGGCTGTTTGTTGTTTGCATTTGTGTTGATAGGAGACCTATAATGGCCACAGCTGATTCCATGGAATTTTTTAGCACCTGTATTCAAAATATTCTTTTCAGACTGTGAGAATAAAACCAAAACAAAAACTCTTCCTTTGTTTTTTTTTTTTTTTTTGAGGCGGAGTCTCGCTCTGTCGCCCAGGCTGGCCCAGGCTGGAGTGCAGTGGCGCGATCTCGGCTCACTGCAAGCTCCGCCTCCCGGGTTCCCGCCATTCTCCTGCCTCAGCCTCCCGAGTAGCTGGGACTACAGGCGCCGCCACCACGCCCGGCTAATTTTTTTGTATTTTTAGTGGAGACGGGGTTTCATTGTGTTAGCCAGGATGGTCTCGATCTCCTGACCTCGTGATCCGCCCGTCTCGGCCTCCCAAAGTGCTGGGATTACAGGCTTGAGCCACCGCGCCCGGCCCAAACTCTTCCTTTGAAAGATACTAAATTGTAGATATTTTAGAGCAGGTTTTTGTTTTGTTTTGTTGTTTTTTTGTTTTTGAGACAAAGTCTAGCTAGCTTTGTTGCCTAGGCTGGAGTGTAATGATACCATTGTAGCTCACTGTGTCCTTCTGCCAGGAGTCAAGCAATCCTCCCACCTCAGCCTTCCTTATAACTGGGACTACAGGCATGTCCAGCTAATTTTTTAATTTTTTGTAGAAATGGGGTTTTACTTTGTTGCCCAAGTTGGTCTTGAACCAAGTCCAACCAAGCAATCCTACCACCTCGGCCTCCTGAAGTGCTGAGATTATAAGTGTGAGCCACTGCACCTGGCTTAGAATGGTTTTTTATTAGGACAAGTTCTGGTTTTGTTATTTCTTATATTTTTTTGTTTGAATTTTTGTAATTACCCAACCTTTTACTATGAAAAATTTCAAAGTATGGAAAAATTCAGCTAGTACTATGAACACGTAGTTACTATCCACCTAAATTCACAAATTGATAGCATTTTGCATTATTTGTTTTCTGTTTATTTATACTCTTTTTTCTCTTTGCTATATCTTTCTTGATTTTTGATGACTTATTAATAAAATCAGAGGCTTTTAACTTTTTTCCCTGTGGTTGAGAGAAGATGGAATATATATGATTATATATATAATTAGATAAATTATTAATATAACAACAAGAACTGACACTTATAGAGCAATCTTTGTATTTCATACACTTTACGTATAGTGAGGTATAGAATCCTCATAGCTCAGTGAAGAATAGATAATATCCCCGTTTTATAAATGTGGAAACTGAAGCAAGGAGAGACCAGGGAACTTGGTCACATCTAGTAGATGGTGAGATAGTATTTTAATGTAAGTTGTTTAGCTGCAAGCAGTGAAGTTAATGACTTGCTACACTGCCTACTGATTTACATAAATCACAGGAATTGTCAGTTATTTACAGTAAAGCAGCAACATCTTAATTTTGTCCTTCACTCATTTATTTTTATTTCATGTGATTGCATGCATCTATGACACCTGAGTAGATCCTCAACAAAAGCTAAATGTTGTATGGTCTGTGTTAGTTTCAGAAATTTTGGTAAATTGTAAATTACCAATATTTTTCCAGTTGTTTACAAGCAGCTTAGGAGATTTTTTAAAAGTAGTCAGCTATAACAGAATCTGTATTACATAATATAACCAGACAGTTTAATCATTAACTAAGAAAAAAGTAATTTTAAAATTCTGTGGTTAGCAAATACTTCATAATATTTTATTTAATCTCTGAATTTGTATTATTGAAAATTGTTTTAGAATTTGTTCCAATAAGCCAATATATTTGCATTGTAGATAGTATAGATAAGTATATGTATTTTGTGACGGATGGCAGTCAGATGTCTAAAAGAAAAGGACTTTTTTTTTTTTTGAAACTGAGTCTTGCTGTGTAACCCAGGCTGGAGTGCAGTGGCGCGATCTTGCTCACTGCCACCTTCGCCTCCCAGGTCCCAGTTCAAGCAATACTCCTGCTTCAGCCTCTCGAGTAGCTGGGATTATAGGCACGCGCCACCATGCCCAGCTAATGTTTGTATTTTTAGTAGAGATGGGGTTTCATCATGTTAGCCAGGCTGGTCTTGAACTCCGGACCTCGTGATCCACCCACCTTGGACTCCCAAAGTGCTGGAATTACAGGCGTGAGCCACCATGCCCGGCCAAGAAAATGACATCTTTTTCTAATTTAAACAGAAGCATCGAAGTCCTAGTGGTAGCCCTGATTAGCAATATGGAAAATTTCCAAGTACATTATTGCTTGTGTCATACCTTAGAGAAGGAAAGAAGAATGAGAGAGGCGTATATTGAAGAGTTGTAACTGCCTGTTGTTTAAGGATAGAATAGTAAATACTCATCTTTAGTACTTACTAAAGATGAAGTTGCTCAGGACTTAAGTGGCGGCAGTCTGTTGTAATGGTTCGGCGGCACATCGGCTCTGCAGTCAGATGGCCTCTCTTCTTCTCTAATTGGTCACCTTATTCAAGCTGTTACAACCTGTTTGTGCATCAGTGTTTTCATACGTAAGATGAGGATAATAATATTTGTAGGGTGACAAGGTTATACATATCATAAGGTTATGCATATTGATGTAATCTGTGTGCTATATATGCCAAATATCTATGCGTATGTTATGTAAACTCTTGTCATGGGAAGCCCTTGGGACTTTTTTATTTAAAATGGTATCTGGGCTCGGCATGGTGGCTCACGCCCAGAATCCCAGCACTTTGGGAGGCCGAGGTGGGTGGATCATGAGGTCAGGAATTTAAGACCAGCCTGGCCAATGTGGTGAAACCCTGTCCCTACTAAAAATACAAAAAAAGTAGCTGGGCATGGTGGCGGGTGCCTGTAATCCCAGCTACTCGGGAGGCTGAGGCAGAGAATTGCTTGAATCTGGGAGGTGGAGGTTGCAGTGAGCTGAGATCGCACCATTGCACTCCAGCCTGGGCGACAGAGCGAGACTCCATCTCAAAAACAAACAAACAAAAAACGGTATCTGGCTATAGCGTCAGGTACTATACCCAGACTCCCATCTCACCCCAGATTTCCCTGAATCAAATGGGCAAGAGAGCTTGGGTGGCCATCTAAGTTTGGTAATCCGTATCCTGTGTGAATGGACGGCTCTAGTCATCCTGTGCCTTGATTCCCACTTCTTTTGAACCTGTGCTGAATTGCTCTGGGTCTTTGTTTCATCTTTCCACCAAGCCAACTTGTTTTTCTCCTCCACTATTTTATTTCTCATATGTGGGAAACAGACTGCATAACTAACTTTCAAAATGTAGCTTTAATAATCTAGTGGTAATATGTAACGCTTGGTTTATGGAGACTAATCTAGCTGTTAGTTGTTTGAAATAGCAAGTATCTTTCATTAAATAACTTTACAGAATTCAGAGAAACAGTTGACATCCAGATGCTGAGATTTTTCAACGACATTTGTTTTATACTGTATTAATAACCATAACTATAAATTTTAGAGCGGTGAACTTTTTAAATTAGATTGGCTCATAATATCATTTATGTAACTTTCTCTTCAATGAATGGGATTAACAACCTACACAAACTAGATTTTTCATTAAAGGATTTTATGTTAAACTGTAGCGTTATGACCAAAATTTGTGAAAATTTGAACGTGGAAAACTGCTAAAACATGCTTCTATGTATTTTTCCAAAGCTTAGCCATATTTTCTCTGCCAGTCCAAGAGCCCTGACAGGTTAATTATAATCATGGCTTGTTTCATCTAAATATGACATGAAATGTGAGCTATTAAAATTCTAAGAATTCTGTCATATGGTTAAGACTGAGGTAGGTTTTTTGTTTAGGTTAATTAAGCACTTCCCCCTTTATATATAAAAACAGGTTGAGTACAATTATATGAATTTTTGTAATTATTGTGGATGAGCATGTTGATAACATTATCTCTCAAGTATTAAAATAGCAGGCCGGGCTCAGTGGCTCATGCCTATAAGCCCAGCACTTTGAGACGCCAAGGCGGGTGGGTCACCTGAGGTCAGGACTTTGAGACCAGCCTGACCAACACAGAAAACCTGGTCTCAATTAAAAATACAAAAATTAGCCGGACGTGGTAGTACATGACTATAATCCCAGCTACTCGGGAGGCTGACAGGAGAATGGCTTGAACCCAGGAGTTGGAGGTTACAGTGAACCAAGATCACACCACTGTACTCTAGCCTGGGCAACAAGAGTGAAACTCCATCTCAAAAAAAATAGCAGGAATGAATCAAACAGATTTGCTTTTAAATTCCTAATTTTAAGAAGCTCAAGCAAACTTCTTGCTAAGCATTTTTTTTTTTTTTTAAAGACAGAGTCTCGCTCTGTTGCCCCGGCTGGAGTCAGTGGCGCGAACTCCGCTCACTGCAAGCTCCGCCTCCCGGGTTCACGCCATTCTCCTGCCTCAGCCTCCCAAGTAGCTGGGACTACAGGCGCCCGCCACCATGCCCGGCTAGTTTTTTGTATTTTTAGTAGAGATGGAGTTTCACCATGTAGCCAGGATGGTCTCGAGCTCCTGACCTCGTGATCCACCGGCCTCGGCCTCCCAAAGTGCTGGGATTACAGGCGTGAGCCAACACACCCAGCCCTTGCTAAGCATTTTAACATCCTCCTCCTTCCCCAACAAAATTAGCTCCTCATTTGTGTTAATGTGACCCTATGTACAGACCTTTCTTCCGTAGCACTCAGCAGCTGGTATCATAGTTAATGGCCTGAGAGTTTTGTGTTAGGCATCTCTGTATGTAGTGTTTAATACAAAGTCTGGCATGATGTTGGTCATGCTGTGTTGAAAATATGGGAAAAAAAAAAAAAAAAAAAAAAAAAAAAAAAAAAAAAAAAAAAAAAAAAAAAAAAAAAAAAAAAAAAAAAAAAAAAAAAAAAAAAAAAAAAAAAATGGGAAGTAGCATTTTGAAACATACAACTGGTATTTTGTAAAATGACTTCTCAAGTATTAAAGTGTTAAATGATGTAGAATATGCTAATTGTCTCACTTTAATTTCATCATCTCAATAGGACTATACAGGCTCCAACCCAAGTTCCAGTGGTTGTGTCTCCTAGGAATCAGCAGTTGCATACAGTAACACTCCAAACAGTGCCACTCACAACAGTTATAGCCAGCACAGATCCATCGGCAGGTACTGGATCTCAGAAGTTTATTTTGCAAGCCATTCCATCATCACAGCCCATGACAGTACTGAAAGAAAATGTCATGCTACAGTCACAAAAGGCAGGCTCTCCTCCTTCAATTGTCTTGGGCCCTGCCCAGGTTCAGCAGGTCCTTACTAGCAATGTTCAGACCATTTGCAATGGAACCGTCAGTGTGGCTTCCTCTCCATCCTTCAATGCTACTGCACCTGTGGTGACCTTTTCTCCTCGCAGTTCACAGCTGGTTGCTCACCCACCTGGCACTGTAATCACTTCAGTTATCAAAACTCAAGAAACAAAAACTCTTACACAGGAAGTAGAGAAAAAGGAATCTGAAGATCATTTGAAAGAGAACACTGAGAAAACGGAGCAGCAGCCACAGCCTTATGTGATGGTAGTGTCCAGTTCCAATGGATTTACTTCTCAGGTAGCTATGAAACAAAACGAACTGCTGGAACCCAACTCTTTTTAGTTAATATACCAAAGCTTATGGATGATTGTTTGTTAATTGAACATTTTCAATTATATGCAAACTGATTGATTCTAAGATAAAGTCTAAGGAGGTTTCTAATTTTGTAATTGTTAAAGATAGAGTTAATTTTGATTTTGTTAGATGAGGGAGGAAAACTCAACTGTTTCTCTTTGTTATCTAAATGTTTCAGAATTCAGTCGTGAAGGAACAGGCATTTTACACTATGAAGACATGCTTTGGAGATTCTTTTTTCAGTTGCTATATCATAAGCATTTTTAAAGTTCCTTTTCTAATTTTACATTGTATTAGATTTTCTGATTCTTTTGTAAATACAGAACTTAAATAGAAGGCAACAGGAAATTTATATAGGAACTATTTTCATTCCACTTGTATAAGTTAAGTCTTGACTCTTTCAAATGCAAAAAACCTATTTTATGCTTTGTTAAAATTATGGTGTCACTTAGATTGACTTTAGCTGGCTGTACTATATAATATAGAACTATGAATATGTAAAATAACATGAAAAATTGGAGGTGCTGGTAGTGTGGCTGACCCTGTTTCAGAAACAGGATAGTGTAAAAGCATCAGCCTAAGAATGGCACTCCCACTAACTCGCTATGTAATCTTGACCTCTTTGGGCTTTAGTTCTTCTCATAAAAGGAAGAGATGTGTTGGACTAGACTAGATGATCACCACTGTCTCTTCTAGTTCTAATCTTTTTAATTCTAATACCTGTATTTTCAAGTTATGTCAATTAAATCATTATCAGGTTATTTCCTAATGTAAGAATAGCTGAAATGTTGCAGAGAAATAAGTGACCCAACAAAATTTATTCATCTGTGATGGGTAAGATTTGCCATAAATTCTTCCTAAATAATTTGTTTACTAACTCTTTAGGCCACTGTGCTTTGCAGTCCATTAGTAAACCTGTGTTGCTAAGTGCTAAACAGAATACTGCTATTTTGAGAGAGTCAAGACTCTTTCTTAAGGGCCAAGAAAGCAACTTGAGCCTTGGGCTAATCTGGCTGAGTAGTCAGTTATAAAAGCGTAATTGCTTTATATTTTGGATCATTTTTTATTGGGGGTGGACTTGGGGGGTTGCATACAAAGATAACATATATATCCAAGTTTCTGAAATGAAATGTTTTTAGATTACTTTTCAACTGTAAATAATGTACATTTAATGTCACAAAAAAATTGTCTTCTGCAAATTTTCTAGTATAACAGAAATTTTTGTAGATGAAATCATTATGTTTAGAGGTCTAATGTTATGTTTTCATATTACAGAGTGAATTTGTATTTAAACAAAAATTTAAATTTTGGAATCCTCTAAACAATTTTGTATCTTTAATTGGTTTATTATTAAATAAATCATATAAAAATTCTCAGTGTTTCTGTTTTCAGGCAAAAGTTTCTTAAAGAATAAGTGTACAAAGAATATTGCTAGAACATTAGCATTACTTAATGTTTATAAATAAACAAACTCCATTAGTCAGAATTGTAGGATATCATCCTTTCACTTTTCCTTTATAGCAGGCCAAATGGCAGTTTCTAAACATCACACAATGGATTACCAAGTTGTAAAAATTAGACAACAATAAAATATTCCCAGCAAAAATATTAAACACACTTTTGTTTCGTTTTGTTTTGTTTTTGAGACAGAGTCTCAGCTCTGTCGCCCAGGCTGGAGAATAGTGGCATGATCTCGGCTCACTGCAACCTCCACCTCCCAGGTTCTAGCTATTTTCCTGCCTTAGCCTCTCAAGTAGCTGGGATTACAGGTGCCCACCACCACATCCAGCTAATTTTTTGTATTTTTAGTAGATACGGGGTTTCACCATGTTGGCCAGGCTGGTCTTGAACTGATCTCAGGTGATCTGCTCGCCTTGGCCTCCCAAAGTGCTGGGATTGTAGGTGTAAGCCACCACGCCCCACCTAAACACACTTTTGAAAATAAGTTTTCTAGTTAGAAACTAGGTCAGTTAATAGTTAAACTTGGAAAACATCGAAAAATTTTCTTATGAAAATTAAAGTCTCTGTAATCCAATAAGAAGTAACTTTCACTTATTCATTTTTTCATGTTTGTGAATGTTCTTCCAAAATGTGATTTTAAAGGCCGTGTAATATTATATTAGTACACCAAAATCCAGTTAAATAAAACCTTTTTAACTAGATAAGTTAGTTTTATAGTTTTTCACCACATAGTGAATATCAGTGTCTTAGTTTGTCGTCTTCGTTGCTGCTATAACATAATACCTGGGACTGGGTAATTTATAATGAACAGAAATTTATTTGCCCACAGTTCTGGAGTCTGGGAAGTCCAATATTCATGCACCAGCAGGTTTGGCAGTTCTCATTCCAAACAGTGCCTGAACACCGTGCTCTCTGGAGGGAAAGAAGGCTTCATCTTCAAATGGCAAAGAGAAAAGCAAAGAGCCCACTTCCACTTCCAGAAGACTTTTATTTATTTATTTATTTATTTTTTGAGACAGAGTTTTGCTCTTGATGCCCAGGCTGGGGTGCAATGGCGTGATCTCGGCTCACCTCAACTTCCGTCTCCCGGTTTCAAGTGATTCTCCTACCTCAGCCTCCCAAGTAGCTGCGATTACAGGCATGCACCACCACACCCAGCTAATTTTCTATTTTTAGTCGAGGCAGGGGTTTCTCCATGTTGGTCAGTCTGGTCTCGAACTCACAACCTCAGGTGATCTGCCCACCTCGGCCTCCCAAAGTGCTGGGATTACAGGCGTGAGCCTTTTTATGAAGGCATTAAACCCATCCATGAAGGTGGAGCCCTCCTGGTCTAATCACTGCTTAAAGGCTCCACCTCCCAATACCTTTACTTTGGCAATTAAATTTCAACATGAGTTTTGGAGGGAACAAACATTCCAGCCATAGCAGACAGTACATAATGATTTTTTGAAAATTAAGGATCTTGCACTATTTTTGAGTCAGTTATCCATAAAGGAGATACCAGATAAACTCTCTTTATTTATAATAGTAACACCATTTAAATTGTGTATTTTTTTTAAGTTTAAAAGGTATAGTATAAGAATTTTTAGAGACACTATTATTTAAGGTTATTGGAATAGTGTACAATTACCATGAACACTGAAATTTTAAAGATGGGAAAAGAAGCCCAGATGTGGTGGCTGTCGCCTGTCATCTCAGCACTTTGGGAGGCCAAGGTGGGAGGATCACTTGAGCCCAGGAGTTTTAAGACCAGCATGGGCAACATAGTGAGATATCATCTCTACAAAAATTCAAAAAATTAGCCAGGTGCAGTGATGCACTCCTGTGGTCCCAGCTACTTGGAAGGCCAAGGTAGGAGGATCACTTGAGGCAGGGAGATGGAGGCTGTAGTGAGCCATGATCATGCCACTGCACTCCAGCTTAGGTGACAGAGGGAGACCCTGTGTTCAAAAAAAAAAGGAGAAGAAAGTCATGTAGTAAGAACCTTAAAACTTCAAAAGCTTAGTCTTTTGGTTTGAACTAAGTATCAGCTACTAAGGAACCTGTGTTTCCCCCATTAGAATGTCTTATGTATCCATATATTCCTTTTTTGTATCTATAGCTACCATCCTAGTTGTAGTCTTTTCTATGTTATTCTTGCCACAGTTTATTCACTTAATATATGAGTGTGTATTTTGTGGCAGGCAGTATTCTCTGTGCTGGAGATAGGTCAGTGAACAAGAGCCTCCCAAGTGACTTCCTGCTTGTGAACTCTTAGTTTGTCAACATGAACTGTTTTTATTCACACTTCTAACACAAAAGCTTGGGATTTTTTCACACCCACTCCCAGTTCTGATACCAACTGGGTGTCTTTGTCCTACAATTCAGTTCAATTCTGACCCTAACCACTTGGAGTTAGCACAGACCCCACAGGTTAAGGGGCTTAGTCTCTCAAAACCGCCCCTCCTTCCGATGCCCATTGCAAGTCCCAGGTTTCCACTTGTACTTCTGACCAGCTGGCTATAAATCAGTGGTTCCCATGACCCCCACCTGCTTAGGTTGGATAATTTACTAAAAGAGCACACAAAACTCAGGGAGCCAATTTACTGGTTTACATTGATGTCAGTTTATTATAAAAAATAACAACTCATGAACAGCCAAATGAAAGATGCATAAAGCAATGAATGGGAGGAAGTGAACAGAGCTGCTCTCCCATCTCATGGTGTGCCACCTACCCAGCACCTCAGAGTGTTTACCAACCTAGATGTTCTCCAGACACCAACATTTTAAGAGTTTTTTAATGAAGCTTTTATTACATAGGCATGCCTGATTAAATCACTGGCCATTGGTGATTGAACTCAATTGCTACACCCTTTCCCCTCCCAGGGGATGGGACTGAAAGTTCCAACTCTAATTACATGGTTGGTTCCTCTGGAAATCATTTCCCATCCTGAAACTATCTGGGGACCCATGAAGTGTCCACCTTATTAGCATAAACTCAGGTATGGTTGAAAGGGGCTTGTTACGAATAACAAAATATGCTCGTATCCCTTCTAAATGCCAAGGGTTTCAGAAGCTAGGGTGTCAGGAACTAGGGATAAAAGCCAAATAAGATGTTTTTATTGTATCACAATCATGCACCTACTTACGGAATAGTCTTTCTAAAATATCCCTTGGCAGTTTGGGCAACATAGTGAGACCCCATCTCCAGAAAAAGTAAAAATATTCACAGTGCATGGTGGCAAGAGCCTGTAGTCCCAGCTCTTCAGGAGGCTGAAGTGGGAGATCTCTTGAGCCTGGGAGGCTGAGGCTGTAGTGAGCTGTGATTACAGCACTGCACTCCAGCCTGGGTAACATGAGACCCTGTCTCAAAAAAATCAAATAAAAATATACCTCGGGAATGCATAATGTTCATGTATGGAAACCCTCAATACCTTTCTAGTTGTAGGATAAAGTCCAAAATCCTTAGCTTAACATTCAAATTCCTCCATCAAACTGGGTTCTTAGGCCAACTATTTCAGTGTTACCCTTTTTTTTTTTTTTCCTTTGAGACAGTGTCTCACTCTGTCACTAAGTCTGGAGTGCAGTGGCACAATCTTGGCTTACTGCAATCACCGCCTCCTGGGGCTCAAGCGATCCTCAGCCTCCTGAGTAGCTGGGACCACAGGTGCGTACAGTGCCAGGCTAATTTTTCTTGTATTTTTGTAGAAAGGGTTTTTTGCCATGTTGCCTAGGCTGGTCTCCAACTCCTGGGCTCAAGGGATCCCCCCCCCCTTAGCCTCCCAAAGTGCTGAGATTACAGGAGTGAGCCCTTGTACCCTGCCGATGTTTTCCTTAAAATGCAAATTTTTGGTTCCACTCCATACTTACTGAATTTGCATCTCATGGGAAAGCTGTACAATTTGCATTTTTTGTTTTTTTCTGAGACAGTCTCGTTCTGTCACCCAGGCTGGAGTGCAGTGGCACAATCTCGGCTCACTGCAACCTCTGCCTCCCAGGTTCAAGCAATTTTCCTGTCTCAGCCTCCCAAGTAGCTGGGACTACAGGTGCCTGCCACCATGCCCTGCTGATTTTTGTATTTTTAGTAGAGACGGGGTTTCACCATATTAGTCAGGCTGGTCTCGAACTCCTGACCTCAGGTGATCCACCCGCCTCAACCTCCCAAAGTGCTGCGATTACAGGTGTGAGTCACCGTGCCCAGCACAGTTTGCATTTTTAACTAGTATTGTATATTCCTTGCTACACAGAGTAGCCCTAAATTAGCAGCAACATCATCTGGAAACATTTTAGAAATACAGAACTCCAGGCCCTGCTCCAGACCTAATGAATCAGAATAATATAGACATTCAAGTTTGAAAAGTACTAGGTAATCTTAATGTACTCTTGGAAGTTTAAGAACCACTGATCTAGCCCCAACGTATTCTTTTAAGCTTATCCCTTGATGTTGCTCTACATTTATTCATTCAACCAACACCTATTGGGTAGGGTATCAAGCATGGCTTTACATAGTCATGGAACTCGTTGTACAAAGTTGAAAAAGTATGATGTCCACGCTCCAGAGACACACTGGGATTAATGAATGAAGCGGCAAACTGCTGCGCGTGACCAGCCAGTGGCTCTCACCATCCACTTAGAATAAAGGGATCAATATTTTGGGCACACCCATAACCCATTCATGGTACATTAGCTAGGGAGCTCTCCCTTATGTGCTAGTATTTCTTAAGATTTCATTCTTGGCTCTCTTCCCACTGCACATGCTTCTTTGACAATCTCATCCACTTCTATTGGCTCAGTCACTATATTATGTCTTGACTCTCTCTAGCCCTAACAAAACCTAGTCACCAACTCCTGAACAGGACATGGCTGTCTGTGCTAGGCCTCTCCACGCCAAATCATTGACTCGACATTGTTTATTAAGGAAGGACCTGGGATACTA